GCGTGAGCAGGGGAGGAGGGTCAGAGAGAGAGGGAGAGACACAGAATCTGAAACAGGCTCCAGGCTCTGAGCTGGCTGTCAGCACAGAGCCAGAAGTGGGGCTTGAACCCACAAACTGTGAGAGCATGACCTGAGCCGAAGTCGGATGCTTAACCGCTTAACTGACTGAGCCCAGGCACCTCCTGAAGTGTTATTTTAAACAACAGATGGACACAGTCCAATTTACAGTGGCAACTGAAGGAGTGACATGTCTGGCCTCAGAGAAAGGAGGGGAAAGGACAATGTTGTTCTGCTCCCCCATGTCAGCAGCAGGCCAACTGCACCTGCAGAGTGTTATCAGGAGAAGGAATGCACAGCATCACTGAGTGAGGTTCCAGAAGAATCTTAATTCCCAGTGGGGTCTGTTTCTGACTTCAGACTCTTCTGTATTTATTAGCTCAGTCAACATATGTTTGTTTTCACCCAGCAATAGTGAACAGGATAGACACCGTGTACTGCATGTAATTTGTAACTACTCAGTGTTATCCCTGTCTTTTTAGTCTTTTCCCTGTCCCCAGGGAAGAGTTAGCTGCTGGTTCCACCATGGAACACTCTGGGCTGAGTCAACTCTAGACCCCCAGGCCACAGTCCACTGAGTCAACTCCCCTGCTCAAATACTGCAAGGCCAGAAAGAAAAGCTCCTTCTACTTCCTATTCTATCTTTTTAACCTCCATGTGGCTAACATGCCACGCTGGGGAAAGTTCATTGGAATTCTTTAACTAAGGGGTCAGGACAATTTCTGAAGATAATTACAACGCTAGAGGGACCATCATTGACAATAATTTGAATTTTATCTAATGAGGTAAGATGCCTAAAAAATTCTAACAACTTGTACAAGGAGCATTCTCTGATTTGACCCTTAAATTTGCTCCCAAGTTTCACCCATCTCACATTAAATCTCTAAGATTGGCAATTTTACCCCTTTTTCTGAGAGAAATCACCAGTTCTGAATCTTTCTCCCCTGTCCATCCTCAAGGAACCCTGTTTCAAGAATCAGAGATGCTTCCAGAGCAAGTAGGAGGGTTAAGGTGAGGACAAGAGAAGTTCCTCCATTAGTTTCCCACATGTGGGAGCTGTCAGCCTGCTGACCCTTTGATTTATTTATTCAGTGCATCTTTTTTTTAAGTTTATTTATTTTTAGTAATCTCTACACCGAACGCGGGGCTCACACTCACAACCTTGAGGTCAAGAGTTGCATGCTCTAACAACTGAGCCAGCCAGGCATCCCTACATTGTGGCTTCCTTCCTTCCTTCCTTCCTTCCTTCCTTCCTTCCTTCCTTCCTTCCTTCCTTCCTTCCTTACTCCCTTCCTCCCTCTCTCTCTCTCTCTCTCTTTCTTTCTTTCTTCCTTTATTTCACTTATTTTTAGTGTTTATTTGTTTTTGAGAGAGAGAGAGAGAGAGATTGACATAGTGCAAGCAGGGGAGGAGCAGAGAGAGAGGGAGATGCAAGCAGGCTCCAGGCTCCTAGCTGTCAGCACAGAGACCAACTCGGGGCTCATGCAAGATCATGGCCTGAGCTGAAGTCAGATGCTTAACAGACTGAGCCACCCAGGCGCCCTCATTGCATCTTTCAAAGGTAAATATGTATGTTTCCCCCCAGCAATCTGGTTTGAAAAGATTATTTCTGCTAATTAGCAAGGTTCTCATGGTACCCCAACTATGATGAATCCCTGTTATTGTTTTTTAGGGCTTTTATTTCTCCATGATTTTGCAGACATACAATGTTTGGCGGCATTATCAAAGAGCAATACTGGTGTTTAAAACTGCTCTCTGCCTCTATTTTTGTTCAGATTCTCATAGGATTAGTGCCACTGGGTGGGTTGGGGGCAGATATTAGGATTCTGATTGCTCTTCCTATTACAGAATGAATCAAGAAGGAGGGCGGAGGGAGATGTGAAAGTACAGCATAGTTCCGATTGAGGAATGCTAGAAATTTCTGTGGGAGTTTGAGAGAGAAGAGCAGTGGGAATCTCAGCCTGAAACAGAGGGCTCCATCAATCCATCAGTACACTGGTAGAATCTGCAGATACTGACTGTTGGGCATTGACTTGACCTTTTTCCTGCAACCTGTGTTCACCTTCTTTTATCTTTAGTGGAAGACCTTCAGTTTCTTAAGTCTACAGATGAATTACACTTGGGAAGATTTCCTACATTTGCAACAATAACAACAACGTTTGCTAAGAGCTTACTTTGATGCTAGGGACTATTTTAATTGTATCAAATGCTTTGGCTCATTTAGTGCCCACAATGCCCTATGAAATAAATATTGTTATGATCATGCCCATTTTTTAGTGTTTATTTATTTATTTTGAGAGAGAAAGAGAGAGCATGAGCAAGGGAGGGGGGGAAAGAGAGAATCCCAAATAGGCTGTTAGCATGGAGTCAGCCTCAGGGCTCAATCTTAGGAACCTGATCATGACCTGAGCCGAAACCAAGAGTCAGACGCTTAACCGATGGAGCCACCCAGGTGCCCCTGATCATGCCCATTTTTATAGATGAGAAAACTGTGACACAGAGGAGGGACAGTGACCCGTCCAGTTCACACAGCTAATAAGTGGAAGAGCTGGGATTTGAACCCAGGCAGAGCCACAAAATCCCAAGCATCATGCAACACTTTCTATCCTCCTCATCCATAATGTGGTGGGTTTTTTCACTTATTTGAATCTTTGCCATTTTCAGTAAAATTTTTATAGCTTAAAAATAAGACTCTACACAATTATTTTGTTTGAGTTATTTCAGGATACTTTCAACATTTTTGTTTGTTTTCTGGGTTTGTTATTGTTATATGGATATAGGGTGGAGTTCTTAAAATGATCTATTCTGATGATTACTGATGAACTTTAACCTTGTCATTTTTCATTACTATGAGTAGAGCCATATGTAAATTTAAAAGCACATTAATTCTACCCACCTCTAAAAGATAGTGAGAACCTTGTGCAGTCAATTCTGCTCGCTCTTGTCACACTGTCTCATGAGCAGAGAGTGGGATGTGGGCCGAAGCGTCTGGAGAGGAGGCAATGCCGGCGGTTGGAGTCTAACTGGAAAGAATCCATGTGTCACGCGAGGGAATTTGGACTACTTCCAACAGAAGGTTTTAGGCAAGAAAGTGCGATAATTGAGTTTGTTTTCACAAGTATGATTCTTGCCTCATTTTGCAGGGTGATTTGTGCTGGGGAATGCTGGTGGGAGGGAGAGCAGTCAGGGTGCCCTGGCACTATTGCAGGTGAGAGAGAATAACAGTGAGACCTAAGGCAGTAATGGGAAAAATAGAGGAGAGGGTGTGCCGATGTAAGAAACAAGGTCAGGGAGAATCAGTAGTCCTGGGTTAAATGTTGCAGAAGAGAAAGAGAGAGGAGTTGAAGTTGTCACCCGAAAGACAACTTCAAGTGAAACAAGTTGAAACAGGTTTCAAGTGAAACAGGTAGTATGGGAACCGGGGTGGATGGGCAGAATGTAGTGGGGAAATAAGTTTGGTAGTGGTTTGGCGCAGGTGGAGAGCCAGAATGGTAGCCACGGGAATGTCAAAGCATAATATAAATGCTAATGAGATCTGAAATGTGAAGCCTTCCAGTAAAGTGGAAAGTAAGGTTTCATGAGAGGTTTTTATGGTTTATATGGGAGCATGATTGTGAATGGAACCAAGCACTTCAGTGTTACTGGCATATAAAGAGTATTTGAATGGGCACCTGGTGGCTCAGTTGGTTAAGCAACTGACTCTTGATTTCGACTCAGGTCATGATCTCATGGTTTGTGAGGTCAAGCCCTGCACTGGGCTCTGCACTAACAGTACAAAGCCGGCTTGGGATTCTCTCTCCCTCTCTGCCCCTCCCCTTCTCTCTCTCTTTCTAAAAAATAAATGAATAAACTTTAAAATATATATCAAAAAATAATAAATAAATAGTATTTGAAGCCAGAGAAAAGGGTGAGGTCAGTCCAGGTAGAGTTCCCATCTTTAGTAAAAAACATACAGGACAATCGGTTAAATCTGAATGTCAGATAAACAGCAAATAATTTCTTTAGGGTAGCCCATGTAATGTGTAGGACATACTTATCCTAAAAGTTATTTATTCATATGAAATTCAAATTTAACTGGGCACCAAGTACTACATGTGACAGCCATAACGCAGGCTGCAAACACGTGCCTGCAGCGGTAGGAAGACCATTTCACAGGTCGAGGGGGTGTGTGAAGCATGGTGGCCGGGGTGTAGGTGGCCAGCAGGGAGCAGCTGTGTCTGTTCCCAGAAGACAGCAGCCGCAGAGCTCTGGACGCCAGTATTGTAATGTTTCAAAACATAATTTTAAAAATGTAGATTTTTAATGTGGAATATCCCAACTTTATTTCATATTTTTTGATGTTTTTATTTTTGAGACAGCGAGAAAACACTTGCCGGGGAAGGGCAGAGCGAGAGAGAGGCAGGAACTGAAGAGGTCTCTGCACTGACAGCACAAAGCCTGCGGCGGGGCTCAAATCCATGGGCCTTGAGATCATGACCCGAGCTGAGGTGGGACACTCCGTCAACTGAGCCTCCCAGGCGTCCCTAGAATATCCCAGGTTTTAAAAGTGGACAGCACTTTAAAGAAAGAAAAAAAAAAAAAACATTTTGAGGCACAGACAAAGCAGGTCAGTCGGGTCCAAAAGGCATATCGGCTACTGGTCTGCAACCTCTGGTCTAATGGCTAAAGGGGGCGGGGCTAGAGAGCAGATTTTTACCCCATAACTTACCGTGCTTGGGCCTGGGAAAGGATGGCCGCAAAGGACTGGTTCTCTCATGCAAAAGGTCAAGTGATTGCTCTGACTGAGACACCACCGTCTTGCCCCTGGGGGCCCGGACAGACCCCGCTGGCTACTCTCCTTGGCGCCAGGCGATGGACAAAGCCCACCGGGCTACACCTGGTGCTACCTGCTCTCACAGGGCCCGAGGACCATGAGGCTCTTCTGCCCGCGTCTCAGGTAACAGGGCCGCAGCCGCTGGGGCCCAGCAGGCTTTCACCAGAAAATTGTGGGCGGAAACTTCCCCGGGGTTTGCTCTGAGCCGTCTTGAGGCTTCTCAGCTTCAGATGCAAAGTGAGTGGGTGTCTCTTTGAGAAGCAGAAAGAGAGAACGAAAGAGAGGTGTTTCCCTTGGCTCTGGAAACTCTATAAAGACCGAGCGGGCTTTTCTTCCCTGGAGCAGTGAGAAACAGCGGGTCCCGGCCTTGCCATCTTCGCTGGGGGCCAGCCCGAGGAACAGGCTGCCATGCAGCAGCCCCTGAATTACCCGTACCCCCAGATCTACTGGGTGGACAGCAGGGCCAGCTCTCCCTGGGGCTCTCCAGGGTCGGTCCTCCCGTGTCCGTCCTCTGTGCCGGGAAGGCCTGGGCAAAGGAGGCCGCCGCCGCCGCCGCCGCCACCAACACTACCACCGCCGCCGCCGCCGCCGCTGCCCCCACTGCCATTGCCACCTCTGAAGACTAGGAGGGACCACAACACAGGGCTGTGTCTCCTTGTGATGTTTTTCATGGTTCTGGTGGCCCTGGTTGGACTGGGGCTGGGGATGTTCCAGCTCTTCCACCTCCAGAAGGAGCTGGCTGAACTCAGAGAGGTAAACCGCTGTGTGGACTGCTGTGCCCTGAAGCCAGGTGCTGGGGGTTGGGGTTGGGGGGACGGTAAGTCAGCTCTGCTGCTGCGGGCGGGAGGGGGAGGGGACTGCCGGGCCTACAGGGATCATGGTCTCACTTGCAAAGTATTTAAAAAAAATTTTTTTTAATTAATTTTTTTATTTTGAGAAAGAAAATGGGAGGGGCAGAAAGAGAGGGAGAGAGAATCTCAAGCGGACTCCATGCTGTCAGCGCAGAGCCCAGCGCGGGGATTGAACTCTTGAACCCTTGAATCCTGAGATCACCACCTGAGCCCAAACTAAGAGTCAGATGCTTAATCGACTGAGCCACGCAGGCGCCCCGCAAAGTATTTTTTAATGCTTTTTTCTTGTCTTAGAAATGGATCATTCTAGGGGTGCCTGGATGGCTCTGTCAGTTAACTGTCCAACTCTTGATTTCGGCTCAGGTCAGGATCTCACAGTGAGTGAGCTCAAGCCCCATGCCAGGTTCTGTGCTGAAAGTGCAGAGCCTGCTTGGGATTCTGTCTCTCCCTCTCTCTGCCCCTCCCCTGCTTGTGCATGTTCTCTCTCCCTCTCTCCCTCAAAATAAATTTTAAAAAACTTAAAAAAAAAAAAAAAAGAAATGGATCATTGTAGTGATCCTATTCTGTAAGCAGAGAAATGGAGACTCCAATGACTGAAAGAAATACTTTCTATCTTGGAAAGGATCAGGGCCAAAACACGTCTGGAAGTTCTGGTTCTTTCTTTCTCAGTGGGCAAGTCAGCCTGCTGACCTCCTCCCTCCCTAGAGCTTAGTGATTCAAGAAAGAAAAGGAACTTTGAGGTCTTGCTTAGAGGTGAATCCGCTTAAATGACCAAGTTAAATTTCCTTGAGAATACCTAAAAATATTAGAACTATTCCAAATCACAGAACAGAGGCATGGTAAGACACAATTGCATGGCCAAAGTCCGAGTTAGGAGAAGTTTTGATGTATTTAGATTCCCTTCTCAAGTTTATTTGGTATGTTTGACAATTTTGCATCCTTAAGCATGAAGAACCTCATTTTTATCATATATTTTTTTCCTTTCCCTCTTTTGCCAGTCCACCAGCCAAAAGCATATAGAATCGTCTTTGGAGAAGCAAATAGGTGAGTTCTTTCATGCATTGTAGTTCATTCATTTCATGCATTTCATTCATTGAGTTTCTAAAGATAGTCCTCACTGCTAAACCATGTTGGTGGGATGCCTTGAATTCCATCCCATTCTTTGATATTTATATACCTCAAAAAGAATCCTGGTTAATTCTGAATCTTCAGTCATTTTGGTTCCTTGAGCTGCCCTAACTATAAGGTGAATTTAATCATTCAAAACCAATATAACTGAATATTGCACACAATTCAAAATAATTTCCATTTGGCTTTGGGAAGAGACACACATATACAGCTTTTGCCCCCTGGGCAGCTGGCTCCAGGCCTGTCCCCTTCCTCAGGTCTCCTGTTTTCCATGAACAGGGCAGTGGCTATAACTCCTAGGGAGGGGAGCAAAGGTGAAGGAATAGACAGAGGTTTCTGGGAAAAGTCTTTCCCTCTTTAAATTCTCTAAGAGATTACTCAGGAGTCAAGCTTTATTTACAAAATTTTTGTAAGGTATATTTAAGCTTTTACTTTTATTTTTATTTTATTTTTTTAGAGAGAGAGAGAGTATGAGCAAGGGAGGGGGGTGGAGGGAGAGAGAGAGAATCCTAAGCAGGCTCCATGCTCAGTACAGAGCCTGACTTCGGGGTTGATCCCATGACCCTGGGATCATGACCTGAGCCAACATCAAGAGCTGGATGCTCAACTAACTGAGCCACCCAGGTGCCCCTAAGCTTTTTAAAAAGTAGGCCATGAATCATCCACATTGGGCTGTTCTTTTGCATTCACTGGCAAACTTGGGGAAAGACCTTAGGCATTTTTCAAAGGCTGGTCCAGCTTCCTCCACAAAGGCAATCATGAGCTACCTTCAATAATAAAGGGAAGTCCTTTATGTGAGATTCAGAACAATGAATAAGATGAAAATGTTTAACACTGACCTTGTGCAGTTTTGGGACATAGTCTGGAAACTGTGAACAGCTAGATTTTGGATGCTGTGGTTCGTTAAACTAAGATTCATTGAACTACAGATTTGGTTAAGAGTCGGAAGGGAGCTTGGAGCAAATCTGATCCAGTCATCTCATTTTCAGAAAAGAAACAAAATACCAGACAGATTATGGGCTATGCCCCAAACTACCAGTGTGAAACTGGGACCAGAAGGAAAGGAACACAGGCTCCTGATCCTTTATCAACCATAGAACTTTCTAGTATATTGACTGGTGCCTTATGAAATAGGGAAACTTCCGACTGTCTAGCATGGCCATGGAATGAGAAATAAAGATGAGAAACAAGATGCCTCTGCAAAGACAATAGGTAAATCTTGTCCTTGGAAATTGGGGAGCAAACAGAAGGCAGCACTGGCCATCCAACGAGGGGAGCCTGTTTCCAATTTTTCTTACATGCTTATTGTAGGTAACCCAAGTCATCCTACTGCCCCAGAATGTAAGCTCTTTAGGAGGCATCCTTTGGATGCTCTGGTCTCTCGTTCTTAGGTCCAAGTCCCTAAGTGTTAGAAAGTCCAGGTATATTCAAGCAGAGTAGAAATATTTGTTAGAAAAATGAAACCTTTGGAGGATTTCTAAAATAAAATAGCTTTGAAAATCAGTGGAATGTGGCTGGTGAAACACATCTCTAATTACTCATCTTTCACCCACTCTCTGGGATCATCTTAGTGGCAAAAAGTCAAGTGAACAGATGAGTCAGGTCTACCTATTCCAGTAAACAAGTATCTTCTTTAGATCAACTCAGATGGACCAGAGATTGGTGAATTATCACATGGAAATCAAATTAGCAACTTTATTAATAAGATAAGAGATGCAAATTAAAACAAGAGGATACCCATTTTCATCCATCCAATTAGTAAAGATAAAAAAATGAGATTGACAAAACTGTGAGAGAAAGTTTGCTTAAACATTAGTTGACATCCAGGGAACAGGTAAATTGCTATACCTTTTCTGAAGAACAGTTGGAAAAATGTACCAAAAATTTAAAAGTGCTCATTTGCTATGTAATCTCATCAAGAATTTATTTTAATAAAATAATCAGAGATATACCCCAAAACTCATAGATAAGGATATTCATCCTTTCCTTATAAGGCTGTTTATAATAAATGAGTCAGAAGAAACTTAAATGCCTCTTAATGGGAGATTAAATACATTATGGTGTATTCAGAGGTCCTAATACTTTATGGATTTTAGATAACTAAAATCCATATGTTAGAAGGACACAATGCCATGGAGATTGCGCATTCTGCATTGTTAGATAAAAAGACAATACAAAACAGCATGCTTAGATTACTATTGGCTATATAAGTGCATATGCATATTTTTTATTCTTAGTAAAGAACTAGAAGGACTTATACTTCAACATATTAACAGTGAAGTTAATATGGGACGTACTATAATAGATTATTTAAACATTCTTATTTACTCCTTTTTCACTTTTCATTTTCACACAGTTAACTCATTAAGTCTTTTATTCATTCACAAATATTCTTGGAGTGCTTCTTATGTGCCGGGTTGGGTACTGGGTATTGGGTGATGACTGAGAACAAGAGAGACAAGGGTCCTGCCTGCACAGAACTTTTAGTACGCTGGAGAGGATAAGCAAAAGCCAGCAAGCCATGGCATAATTTCAAATTGTAATAAATGCGTTGTAAGATAGTGGTCTGGAAAGTCCCCTCTGAGGAGGTATATGTGTGTGTGTGTGTGTGTGTGTGTGTACATGCATGTGTATGAGTGTTCATGTGTGTCAGGTGTGGTGGTAGGATAGGGGAACACATTCCAGCAGTGAGAATTGCATGTGCAAAACCCTGGGGGCAGGAAACATTCATCACTGAAGTGTAGGATATATTTCCAGTTTATTTTAATATTTATCCAGCAGATACTTTTATTGAGTACCCTTTGTGAGAATAACACTGTACAAGGCTCTGCGAGGGATATAAAGATATGCAACATGTGGTTCTCTGTTCCATTTCCTGTCAGTACTTGGTTGAATGCCAGGCGAGTTGCACAGATGGTTTGTGGTATAGGAATGTAGAGGAGACTCAGTTTTGCCTTTCCTGTTCGCTAACACCTCATTCATGGTGGGAGGTCTTGAGTGGCTAGAGAGGTAATGATTAGTCAGGTAGTTCTCAGTTGACTGGGACATTCTCATGCCATATGTGAGCTTTATAGGCTAATCACAAGGAACTTGATGTAGATGAGTCCCTTTCTATGAATCTTTCCTGAATGCCTTAGCCGAATTCATTAGCTAAGTGGTAGCTTGGTTTGATTAAAATATTTGAAGTCAGAGAAGTAATGTCTACTTTGGGAACTATTGTCTACTTTAACTCCTCCAATTGCATTTAACAAATATTTACTGGTCATGTGCCCTGTGTTAGAAAATGAGCTAAGTACTCTTGTAGATTAAATATACAGTAGGAAATTTGCCATTTATTTGAGGGGAATAAAACAAGTTATACAGGTACCACAGAAATGGGGAGTCAGAATTGACAAGAGAGGTGAAGACAGAGTGATTCTAAGTTTCAAAGGAGGGAGAAATATTTGATTAAAAAGTAGGACAGTTTCTCAAAGAAAGAGGTGTTTTAGGTGGTATTTAGAGGGTTGATAGGAATTTTCCAGAAGGATCTGTTTGGAGGGGATTTGGGGCAGACGGAACAGCATGAGGAAAGGCACAGGGGTTGGAAGCTGGGTGTGTGCAGGTTACATCAGAACTTGTGTTGTGCTGCCTTAGCCAGTGTGAGCAAGTAGAGCAGATGAGGCTGGTCAGACAGGCAGAGATTATGTGGCCGGGGAAACTTTTACACAATTAAACATTCAATGAGGCGTTATTCAAGGCATTTGAGATCTGAGGATGATGAACTTGGGTGGACAAACACCACCTGGGGGGAGATCTAGTAGCCAGAAGGTGAAATCACAGTCTTCCAGGAGGTGAAATCACAGTCTTCTTTGGCCTCTGTCCTGCGGATTGCTAGAGACAGCAGAACCAGAGTAGAAAAATCCCAATTTGGAGTCAGGAGACCTGAGTGTCCATCCTTCTCTGATATTGAGTAGCTGGGTCATTGTCACCCAACTTTAAGCTCATTTAGCCACCTATATGGTGGGACAATAATCTCTACCTCAAAGGGATGTGGCAAGTTCAAATGCAGTAACTGATATGATAGCTCTTTATAAATCAACCTTTTTATTGTTTTATTGTAACATGATACTTTTTGCATATCTCTATTTCCATTTGGTTTGTTTTTGACCTCTTTGTTTCTGAAATACATGTTCCTGTGAGTTCTACAGTTTGGATTTGCATGATTAATATATGTCAGAGTATTGTCATTTATGTTTTTAAAAAATCACTCTTATTTAAATGACCTGTTCAGAGTCCCAACAAAATAATGATTGGTGTCTCATTTTTATATATATCTTTCATCTCTCTATGATACAGGTCAACTCAATCCACCCTCTGAAAAAAAGGAGCTGAGAAAAGTGGCCCATTTAACAGGTCTGTATCTGGAAGGTACATAGGGTTTGGGAAAGCCTTTGACAGAAAGCAGCATAGCTGGTTGGGTACTGTGCTCTGAGGGAGTTGTTACTTTTCAGTGACAGTATTTAACACCTAAGAATGGTCCTATCTTTCTAGTCAAGTCACACATAGACTGGACCCCTACTGCAGTCTAGGCCATGTTCTGAACTAGAGAAATGGTGGTCCATGAGGATCCTACTCTTCAATAATTCCAAAGAACCTTATGGGATTTGGGGCCTGGGTACAAGAGGTGAGGTCTGGGAAGGTGGGGAGTAAGTGCTTTTCTGGTTTTCTGGAAGAGCCTCACTCCGCTTTCCGCAAGAATAGTACTGGGAATGAGAAGAAAGGCCCAGTCCTGGCACTGGAGGACTTCCTGCATGTGGTCACGTAGTGGAGTGAAGTGATTTGATAACAGTGTGGTGCGGGCATTCCCAGGGTGTAGTCCATTAACATCGGAAAGTGGAAAAGTATCACAGAAACTGGTGTCACACCGTCCCTGGAATTATTTAGGCAGAGGCCATAGAATGATCCAGTTTGGATCTACAGACATTTTTGGAACACATGTTGTGTGCCAAGTCTTGGTGACATGTAGATAAATAACACATGGTTCCTGCCTTCAAGGAATTTAAGATCAAATAGAGAAAGACAGATACATAAGCAATGATTTCAGTACTGGAGAGTGTTCTCTGATTAAGGTATGTATATACTGCTATCGGGACACAAAAGAAAGGGAATTTTAGCCCCAAGTGGGGGACTGAAGGCTCCTTACTGTAGGTAAAGAGTTGGCCCAGGTGATCCCTAAAGATTCTTCTCAACTTTAGAATTTCAGAGTTCCTTAGGTTTGGCTTTTCTCCTCACTGTGGGGATCTTGAAGCCTAGAAGTTTTGGTGTTAGTTCTGAATACTGTAGCATCTTTGTTCCAGAGAGCTAAAATAATCTCAACAATATCCCATTGTAATTGATTAGCATATATTTTATTGTCCCAGTTGTGTAGATGATAAATTGAAGCAGGCAATTTAATAGAGGTGTTGAAGGAATTCGGTGATGGATCAAGTCTGACCCATTGGCCAGTTCTATATGGGCTATGTCACTTTGGTCATCCGCTCAAGGAAAGGCCCACAGTTTTGCCTTAGAAGCTTCATTTGTTGGGTGCATGAGCATTCCTGGCTGAATGGTCCTCTCTGATTTGATTTCAGGCAAGCCCAACTCGAGATCCATCCCTCTGGAATGGGAAGACACATATGGAATTGCCCTGGTCTCTGGGGTGAAGTATAAGAAGGGTGGCCTTGTGATCAATGATACTGGGCTGTACTTTGTGTATTCCAAAGTATACTTCAGGGGTCAGTCCTGTAACAACCAGCCCCTGAACCACAAGGTCTATATGAGGAACTCTAACTATCCCCAGGACCTGGTGCTGATGGAGGGGAAGATGATGAACTACTGCACTATTGGCCAGATGTGGGCCCGCAGCAGCTACCTGGGGGCAGTATTCAATCTCACCAGTGCTGACCATTTATATGTCAATGTATCTGCACTATCTTTGGTCAGTTTTGAGGAATCTAAGACATTTTTTGGCTTATATAAGCTCTAAGAAAAGCACTTTGGGATTCTCTCCATATGATTCCTTGTTACAGGCACTGAGAATATGGTCGTGAATGAGAGTCTTCTTAAGCCCACTTGAAGTCAAGTGAGAAGTCATGAGCCAAGTAGACCTTGAGATCACAAGGCCCAGCAGGTCTACAGTTCCTCATCTCCCTGTAGATGTCCATCTGTCTGGTCCACATGCCAGATAAGAGGGGAAATATGACTGAAGAGCATGAGACTCTCGCTGCCATATGAAGATGCAGAGGCAGGAAGAAGCAGCTACCAGGGTGTTCTGCACTCATCTTAAGTAGCCAAAAGCACTTTGGCACATTGGAAAAGACAATTAACTCACCTCTTGGGGTGAGTTTACTGTCTACCTCAGAGGAGGCTGCCTTTCAGATATATGGATATGACATGAGTGTATAAAGGATGGAAAAAGAGGACTAGGTTGCATGATAAGCTAAAGAGATGGAAAGGCCAGTGTCCCATTGGCAGCATCTTTATTTCTAAATGCATAGCCTGAGCCACCAGGTGATGCTAACAGAGAAGAAAGGGGGATCTTTTGGGAAGTTGGTCTATTCCCTACGCCGCATGTACATTTTCAGTGCAATTGTAGAGGTATGTATGTGTGCACGCGTGCATGTGTGTGTGCACGCATGTGCATGTATTCATATGCATGTGACTAGAAGAGTTACATAAGTAGAGACAATGTGAAGATTGGGAAGAACATGTAGGAAAACATGGGTTGCGCAGTGGTAGATTTTGAATATTTCTTGGCAACTATCTCAGCTGTCCTCAAAATAGTCCTCAAGACTCTTTGAATGTCAGCTATTGATGCTGTTTTCCTATAATATAATCAGTATTTATATACATTTTGTGTATTTTAATGAAAAGAATACATGTAATAAACATTATATTTTAGCATACGGATAAACATTATGAATGTGTTTTTGGAAATCACTAAGATTTCAATGTTTTTCCTTATTATTTCTTTCCTCCATGGCTTCCTCACTCATTTTGACTTAAGGCCAAGTTAAGAAGAACTCACTGGGGTGAGAAGAACTGTGGAGCAAATCTGTCATTGCCAGACACCTTTCTCTCCCAGCCTCTCTCCTGTTATCCAAAGTTTCCATTACCTATACTATACTGTTAAGCTCACCCAACTTGCAGTAGATTTGATGACAACTTCCCCCCAACCCCCAGGGAGCAGAGCCATACCAGAGTGGAAAGGGAAAGACTCTGGACTGAAAAAACTGAATTTGAATCTTTGTTCCTCTACTTACTAAGTAAGTAGTACTTCCATTCACTAGGAAAGCCACTTGACTTCTCTTGGATGAAAATGGCTTATATGTACATAAAGTATTGATTCATGGCATCTGTCTAAACAATGGCATGTGAGAGGCACTTCATGTTCCAGAAGACGTCACTAACGTGAGGGATCCATCCAAACTCCTGGTTTCTTAAATGGTCCTGTTCTTCACTCACAATGACTTTTTCCTATTTTCTTTTCAACTACTCACTACCATGGCCTCTCTCTAGACTTTGCCATTGTCAAAAATTATGGTATTTCCTTTACAATTTGATTTCGGATATCTTATTTTCACAATATCACCTCCTATTATTCAACTCAATTGCTTCAACATTTTCTCTCCTAAAATACATATATTTTTACCATACTGAGATCTCTAATAAACTCTATCGTTTCCTTACATATCCATAAGCTCTTTTTTTATTTTTACTCCTCTCTCTGATCAGCTTAGATTCTACCCTCTGTCATGACAATCAATCTCTTGGAAAAATTTTCAACTTCAAAATATTCTGCTTCCTTCACTGTATTCTCCTTGCAAAAATCCCATTTTCTTTAAGCTGGAATCCTAAAAGCTGAATATTGCTAGAGAAAAATTACCCAGACAGATTGGCTTTTTTAAATCTATTACCTACTTAAATAGATTATTCTTTATCACTGATTTTTCTATCTTTTTATTGATTTGAATAAGCAATACATGGATATAATACAAATTTTAAATAAAGGGTACTAGACCAGCACCTCGTGAGGACTGCTGACTTGGTCCCCTTTTATTTATTTATAAATAAAACATAAGAATGGGAGTAAATGCTCTTTTCATTGTGTTCCATGGTCCTATTTTCGCCCACAGAGATTATCACCATCTCCTTCTGTAGCTTTCCAGAGATGGTCTACATGTAAGTATGACATCACTTTGTATTGGGTTTCCCAACCTTGGTTCTATCGACATTCTGAGCTGGATATTTCTTTGTTGTGGGGTTTCCTGTGCACTGTAGTATGCTTAGCAGTCTCCATGCCCTCTATCCACTAGATGCAAGTAGCATTCTCCCCTCCTCTACATGTGATATCCAAGAATATGTCCAGACATTGCCAAATGTCCCCAGGCTGGGGGGGGGGAGGGGGAAGACATAATCAGTCCTATGTGAGAATACTGCTTTGTATTAGTGGTCACAGATCATTCAACCCTGCCTAGAACCTTTTTTCAGTTCCCTGCCAAGCACATTTTTCCACTGTTTGAGACAATTATGTCTTATCTTTTCCTCTTGCAAATTTGCCATATCACCTCCTCCCACCATGGAACTTCACTTATACCGCCAGCACACAAATCCACCTGCATCTGCATTATCTCTTTTATCCTTATAGTGGAGGAAGAGGATCATCTTTTCATTTGTGCACTAGACCCTTTTCCTCTACCCTACTTTGCTACTTTAAAATTGTTCTGGGGGCACTTGGATGGCTCAGTCGGTTAAGCATCCGATTTCGGCTCAGGTCATGATCTCACGGTTCGTGGGCTCGAGCCCCGCATCGGGCTCTGTGCTGAAGGCTGGCTCAGAGCCTGGAGCCTGTTTCAGATTCTGTATCTCCCTCTCTCTCTGACCCTCCCCTGCTCACGCTGTATCTCTCTCTCTCAGAAATAAATAAAACTTTAAAAAATTAAAAAAATAAAATAAAATAAAATTGTTCTTCTGTCTTCTGGATCCTCAAACCATCACTGTCTATGAAATGACTTCCATCAACATGTACATATGCTCAAGTATCCTTTTTCAATAAAAGATAGCGCAACCCAAAGTAAAAAGATCCCAAACCTTTCTTTACCTTTCCTCTTCTCCAGTGATGGCTGCATTTCTCATGTTCCTTCTCATCTAAGAAGGTTGTCTCCACATACATGTCTCATCTAAGAAGGTTGTCTCCACATACATGGGCTCCATTTTCTCAGCCAGGAATGGTCTTTTCAGGCTCCTTATGTGAGGGGCTTCTTATCTTTCAGGCCTTAGTTTAAATGTCACCTCCTCAGACCATTTCTAGAGCCTCTTCTTTTTCTCATTATTTTATTTCTCTCTAGTTCCTTCTTCGTAACTAGCCTAACTTGTGATTGTATTCTTTATTTGACAACTTCAAAATTTCTGTTTTTTCTAGTAGAACAAAAATTCCAAAAGTAAAAACTTTTCTGCTTTGTTTACCACTGTATCCTCATCACCGAACCCAGTGCCTGGCATATATTAGGAGTTCAATAAATATCTGTCGACTGAATAACCTTAATTATAAAGCAAATGTTTCTCAGATTGGGGTATATGTGTATATTTCTCAGCATAATGAATATATTCACTACTAGTCATGAATGTATGTGAGTGTTTATCCAGCTTTGAGTAGCTTATATAATGGGGATTTGAAGCTATAGATGGAAGAAATAGTGCATCCTATTTCTTAGCACTGGAAAACAAGAAAAGTCTACTTGGTGTGTGGCATTACCAGGGGTTATTCAGGAAACTGTTGAGGGAAAACTGCTGGGTAACTAGAGCTGAGCTTGTTCCTTAGAAGACATTCAATAAATATTTGTTGAAGAAATTAATGAACAAAACCAAAGATGCAGGCTGAAGTGTGTCATGATCTCCTTAAAACTCTTCTGTTGATTTATCTGTTTCCTGACCAGTACCTGAGAAAGTCAGGGAGGTATTCACCCTTCTTTTGGCTGCTTGTCTGTATTCCTAGCCCTCATGATGAAGTCTTCCTTATCCCTTTTCTCCTCTTTTGGCTCCAAACATCAAGTACACCAGTTCTAGGAAGTTTACTGGACTTTTTTTTTTTTAATCAATGGAACCTTCTAGATATTGGTGCCAGAGCAAGGAGGAAGTAGGGATGGCATCCTGAGATGACATAATTCCATCAGCTAGTAGTGGTATTACTGACACTTTTATCCCTCCAAGTCTAAGCTCTATTAGAATGCCTTCGGGATTTTCTGAAGATAAAGCTATAACTTACCATGCTTTAAGTACTTGTTTCAGGAAAGAGATGCTAACAGTTCCTTCAGGAATCTTGAGTTATTTTTCTTTACCTCAGTAAGAACATAAGAATGCCAAAAAATAAATAAAATATTTTTGATTAGCTCATTAAAATGGGATCTGCCGTTGTTACTTTGTGAAATGCTAGACCCAAGGTAGAGCACTTAAAAAAAAAAAAAGAAGACGAAGATTACTTCTGGTTCAGTAGTTTGAGGTTTTCTTTCTTTTCAAACAACTAAAACCACACAAAACCCATGTTTTTTTCTTAGCCCCCCAGAGGGGTGACCTTGTATTCTCTGAAGTAGGTTTTGACTTACCACAGCTTAGTAGGAAAATAGCTCTACTGGGGACCATCATTATGAGTGTGACTCATTTGAACTGATATATCACTGGAGGAAGAAAGCTGGAGAAAGAAGCTTGTCTCCTTTAGGCCAAGATTATAAGATTTCTGTAGGGTTAAGCCATAGACATTCCTAGGTCCTTATCTGAAAGTGTGCCAGTTGTATGTTAAATTACATTTTACTAAGGGATCTGTTTTAGTTCTGGTATTAGTAGAGATACATTTTTTTCTTTCTGGATTTTTTTGTTTTGTTTTTTTCCCCCTTTCCCAAGGTTTTGGATCATCCAGAGGCAAAATGTGATCCTAGGAAAGTAGAATCAGGACCCTATTCCTTAAGGTCCTTAGACTGAGAAATGAGCGTTACTCAGAAATATATTTTTTAATTTTTAAAAAAGTTATGTTTGTTTATTTATTTATTTATTTATTTATTTATTTACTTTTAGAGAAAGAATGCATGAGCAGGGGAGGGGGAGAGAGAGAGAGAGAGAGAGAGAGAGAGAGAGAGAATATCCCAAGCAGGTTCTATGCTGTCAGCACAGAGCCCAACGCAGAGCTGGATTCCAGGACCTGGGGATCATGACCTGAACTAAAATCAAGAGTCAGACTCTTGGGGCACCTGGGTGGCTCAGTTGGTTAAGCATCTGACTCTTGATTTAAGCTCAGGTCATGATCTTGCGGTTTGTGAGTTCAAGCCCCGTATCGGGCTTGGAGCCTGCTAGGGATTCTCTCTCTCCCTTTCTCTCTCTCTGCCCCTCCCCTGTTCATGAGTGCTCAATCTCTCTATCAAAATAAATAAATAAACATTAAAATAATAATAAAAAAAGAGTTGGCCACTTAACTGACTATTTCTAAGTACCCCCAGAAATACTTAAGCTATTGATGGTAGCCAGAAACCTTTGAGGTTCACCTAACAGTCAACAAGTTTTGGGAATATAGGGATCTAAGTGGGTATTCTGTTCCTTACAGGTAGATTGTTGTCTTCATTTTATACACAAGAACAAGTGAGACACTTAAAAGTTATGAGCCTTGCTTAAGGTGACATGGCCAATGAGTGGCAGTGCTGAAACTAAACCCCAGTCATCGGAAACCATACATTTTATGTTCTTTCCATGTGCAGAGAGATTTCTTAGAAGTGCACCTTGTATCATGCCACCCAACATGAGCCTCATCCCCTTCGTTTTCAGCGATTCCTCATCTCTTTGTATTTTAGTTTAAACCTCACTTTGCTTAATGCCCACATTCTG